GGGGGAGGAGTGGAGTCGGGGGGAGGGGAGTCGGGGGGAGGGGAGCTAGGAGAGGCGACACCCGCCGTCTTGCCGATGAAGCAGCAAGGAAACGCTCTCCCCTAGAGCCTCCAGAAGGAACACAACCCCGCAGACACCTTGATTTTAGGACTTCTGACCTCTAGAACCGTAAGAAAGTCAGCTCGTATTGTTTAAGTCGAAAGTGGTAATTCGCTACAGCAGCCATAGGAAACTGGTACGCCACCATTCTACGTGACAGTTTAACCTCTAAAACATCTATTAACAGATCCACCTTTAATCGAAAACACAGGAAAACTGCATTCAGACCTTGCTAGAGGCCCGGGCCCTCACGCAAGTCAACCCGCGGGGCGCCGGCGCGCACGGGGCGGGCGCTTCCGTGCTACCGTCCCCCAGACATCCCCCGCGCCAGTCGGGTTGGGTACAAAGCCGGTCACTGGGCCCCGTCTCCTGCCCGAACTGCTCTCTCCGAGCCGCGTGTGTCACTCTACGGCGACGCAGAAGTCTGGAGAGCGGGCCCGCGGCCCCTCGCTGGCTTCTCGCCACATCACAGACGCTCTCGACTTCCACGGCAGCCTGCGAGGCGCCAAGGCGGGCCCGCCTCACAGGAGACCGGGACACGGCCGCCACCGCCTCGCGGGCGCTCGGCAAGAGTCGCGGCCACCGCGCCCGTCGCCGCCGCGAGGACCCGCTCGGGCGAATGACTCCCACCCCCGGCCCCGGCCTCGAGCCCAGAACGCGGACACCCGCAGCGCTAAGCCAGACGCCGGACACAGCCCTCCCCGCACGCCGCCGCGAGCCACCGCCACCGCGCAGCCGCCGAGCGCCGCCCCCGCTCGGAGCCCCGCGCCCGCCTGGCCCGGTCCCCGCCGACCCCCTCAGCAGGGTGAGGGGCAGCGGCCGCGCGAGCTGAGGAAACCCGGGCGAGGGCAGGGACCCAGCGGCCGGAGCCGCCGCGCTCCGTCCTGACGGACGCGCTGTCCCGCCCGAGCGCGTGGTCTTACCGGCCCACTTCGCCGTCAGCGCCCGGCTCCGCGCGCCCCCGCCCGCCGCTCCTCAGAGCCATCCCGTCGCCGGCTTCCTCGGCTTCCCGGGAGAAGTTTGGCGCGCTCGCGCCCTCTCTCGTGAGAGCCGGGACTGCCGCCGTCCAATCAGGAGGCGCGCCCCCGCCCCGCCCCGCCCACGGCGCTCCAATCGGCAGCGGCGCGCGAGGAGGCGCGGCAGGGACCGGGGAGAAGTGCGGAGCAGTGCAGCGCGCGGTTTGGGCCCGACGGCACTGCGCGCTGCCGCGGGACCGGAAATGTCAGGCCGTCCCCGCCCCACGCCCCGCGCCCCGCGCCCTGGGCCCGGCGCCAGGCCGGCCGGAGGTGGGGTCGGCGCCCTGGGCGGCTCGGCGCTTAGGAGGCGATGGCGCCGGCGGTGTCCAAGCTGTGGGCCGAGGCCCGGTTCGGGGCGCTCCCTCGGCGGGCGCTCGCCCAGTACCTGCTCCTCCTGCGGCTGTACCCGGTGCTCACCAAGGCGGCCACCAGGTGGGCGGGGGCCGGGCGCGGCGGGGTCGCCGAGGGCTGCGGGCGCCGGAGCGACGTGCCCGCGTTGCGAGACGCCCCTGGCCTTAGATTGAGCAGAAAGCGCCTGGCCGCGGTTGCGAGTCCTCGGTCCCGGGAAGCACTTTTTGGGCGGTCTCGACACGGACCGGAGACCTGCGGGCCTGGCCTGCGGCGAGCCGCCCTTCGATGCGGAGGGCGGACTTCACCGCGGGGCGCTCCCGCTTCCTTCCTTCGAACCGACGTGACCCGTCCGCCCTCTGTGAGTTCAGCCTTCCGCGGACGCGTAGGGCTGCCGTGCAGCTGCGATCGCGGCTCACGGAGCCGGCTTCGTAGCCAGGAACTAGACGAAAAGCGGGTAAAGACGTGGCAGATGCAGTGGTCAGGGCAGGGCCGCGTGAAGGGACGCAGAAGCGCTCGGCCTGCGGGAGTGGGAAGAAGTGTGTCTGCAGGAAGCCAGCGGCCTGCGAGGGGACAGGGTCAGAGCAAGGTGGCTGCGGGGCCCGCACGGGGAACTTAGGGTTTCGTAGCTCAGGGGGCGCCTCAGAAGGCAGCCGGGGACCAAGCCTGGGAGGAAGAGACTTGGCCTGACTCCACCTTTTTGTTGAAATTTTCGTTGTGATAATGGTAGGTTCATATGCGGTTGTAGGACATGATACAGAGAGATCCCTTGTACCCCTTGTCCAGTTTCTGTAAACAGCACAATATGGCAGCCAGGACATTGACCCCAACACAGTTCGCAGGTCACATTCAGACTTTGCCCAGTTTTTCCTGTACTCGTGCGTGTTTAGTTCCCTGCAGTTTTATCACGTGCACGGGTTCATGTATTCACCAGCACAGTGAAAATACAGAAGCGTTATCGTAAGGTTCGCTCTGGTTGCCCTTTGATGACCATATCTTTCTGATTTGCTGAATGGTAACATTTGGCAAAACCATAGTATGACATCACAACCAGGATGCTGCTGTTGGTGTAGTCCACCACTGGAAATCTGCTTGCACTTAACGCGCGCGCTTGTGTGTGTGTGTGTGTGTGTGTGTGTAAGTTGTGTCGTCTGCACCTTGCGCTGTGGGGGCTTCACACCACAGCTGCTTTATCAAGGACTCATCCCAGCCCTCTGCAGCATATCTCAGAACGGCCCTGCCAATTCACCTGCAGCAAAGGGCCACCCTCGTACTGCTCGCTCCTGCTTTCTGATTCTCTCTCTGTCCACAGTGGCGTTTTGTCAGCACTTGGGAACTTCCTCGCCCAGATGATTGAGAAGATGCGGAAAAAAGGAAACTCTGCAAGTCTAGATGTCAGCGGGCCTCTCAGATATGCTGTTTTCGGGTGAGTGCTGTGCAGGGGCTGGCTTGCCCTGGAACCGACCAAGTACAGCCAGGCTGGGGCACCAAAGCCATGTTTTTGGAATAAGCATTAAAGTAATCATCATGGGAAAATATAAGAACAGTTTCCATAGTTTGTGTGGTATGTATATACATATGCATAGTTCTGTAGTTTTATTTTTAAATGTATGGGTGGGAGTGGCCATCTTATTTGGGCTGAGAGGTAGACCTGATGGCAGGTAACTCACCTAAAACCTAAAGTCAGATCTCAAGACTCAAAGACCCTGGAAGCACCCTAGGTCGGGCTCTAGAAGAGGAAAACTGACTCAAATATGGCTGGTTTCTATTGTTATTTTCTTTTTCTTTTCTTTTTTTGAGACAGGGTCTTGCTCTGTTTCCCAGGCTGCAGTACAGTGGCGTCATCATAGCTCACTGCAGCCTTGAACTTCCTGGCTCAAGGGATCCACCTGCTCAGCCTCCCGAGTAGCTGGGACTATAGGTGTGAGCCACCACGCACAGTTAATTTTTTTTTTTAATATTTCGTAGAGATGGGGTCTTACTGTTGCTCAGGCTGGTCTCAAACTCCTGACCTCAAGTGATCCTCCTGCCTCAGCCTCCCAAAGTGCTAGGATTACAGGCATGAGGCACCACACCTGGCCTCTGTTGTTATTTTCATAGCGTAAACATCCACAAAAATACTTTATTGTAAAAAATGTCCAGTTTCTGAACCACTTTATGAATTGCAAAAACACAGTGATTCAGGAGTTTAACCAATTTAATCTACCCTGAGCTCTGTGGCCAATATTAGTGATATAAATAGATTATTTTGAAGTCTTTTCCAACTAGTGATTTTTTTAAATTCGGAATTCACAAAGACCATTTTTGTACTTGTAAGCGTGCTAATTTGAGTCATCATGGTTTTTCCATAATAAATTTAAAGCGGTGGTCCCAGAGAAGGGTATGTAACAAGATCACCTAGGAGGCCTTATCTAGTTACCAGTCCAGCCCCAAGACTTCAGTTCTCCCCAGTAAGAATCCCTGCTGGAGGTGGGAAAACCCAACTGAGAACCACTTGTTTAAAGACTTTCAGTGTCAGAAGTTGAGAGACTCCTGGGTCTCAAACCCTCTTGTTATTGCTGAATTTTATGGAGCTGCAGGTCTGTTGTGCCAGTAGACATAGTGGCTGGGCTGCATTCTCTCCCAGGTACACTGTGGAATTAATAGCAATGCAGACAGGTCAGTGTGCAGCACCAGGTCTTACCCTTGCCACTTGCCCCAGAGTTTGATAAAAAGCTCTAAAACCAGGGTCGTGTCCATCTGTTTATTACTGAGCACCTTCTCAGAGCCAGGCCCTGTTCTGGACACTGCAGACTCAGCAGTGGACAGACAGACACAACGTGCCTGTGGGGTCTCCCTCCGGGCAGGGGGCGGCGGGGGGAAGAGGACGCTATCTAACCAGGCGACTGAGATAATGACAATGCTCTGCAGAAAACTGACCAGGGCCCGGAAGAGAGAGTGGCAACACAGGCGTGTGCGTTAGGACCACCAGGAGGGGCCTCTCCACACAGTGCGTTAGAGGGCACTGACCACCACGTGGAGATGGGAGAAAGCTCTGGGAGCAAAGGATCCAGGGCAGGAACGACTTTGGTCTACTAGAGACCAAAAAGAATGCCTGAAGCAGATTCAGAGAAAACATATTTTCTAGAAGGTCCAATGCACACCTGTGTGGTCAGAACTTAGGGGTGTCAGGGAGTCAAGGTTTGGGGGGGGAGCTGGACCAGAGAAGGGCACGGCCAGAGAACCACAGCCGGCTCACGCCCACCACGGGGCCTCAGCTTCTTCTTCACAGGGCCGCTGAGTCACTACTTCTACCTCTTACTGGAGCACTGGATCCCTTCGGAGGTTCCCTTGGCGGGAGTCAGGAGGCTCCTCCTGGACCGCCTCCTTTTTGCCCCGGCCTTCCTGCTGCTGTTCTTCCTCATCATGAACCTTCTGGAGGTTGGTGTCTGCCGCTGCACTTACCACAGCTCTTCCTTTAGCATGGGGTTTCTTTTCTGCTTCTTTTTTTTTTTTTTTTTTTTTTAGGAGATGAGGGCTCTGTTCCCAGGCTGGAGTGCAGTGGTGTCATCACTGCAGCCTCAAACTCCTGGGCTCAAGGGATCCTCCTGCCTCAGGCTCCCTAGCATCTGGGACTACCGGTGTGAGCCACCATGGCTGGCTGATTTTTCTTATTTTTTTGGAAATGGTGGTCTCGCTGTGTTGCCCAGGCTGGTCTTGAACTCCTAGGCTAAAGCAATCCCCCCAAGTCACCAGGATTACAGGTGTGGGCCGCCACGCCCACTCAGCATAGGGATTCTTAACCTGACATCCCTGGGTAGAATTCAGAGGGTCTGTGAGCTTTACAGTACAGCATGTCCTATACTTGCTGCTTTTACTCTTATGATTTATTTTGTGAATATTGCTACACCCAAGTAGAAATATTCTCCTATACTTTTCCTTATGGTTTTAATTCTGTTTATAGTGGGAGATAGACTTTGTCTTGATCTTCTCCACTTTATCACACACCGTCGTTACCATTTATTGAACAGCCCCAGTATTTTGGAACGATGACTTTGACATATTGCCATGCCCATGTGTAGAGGCCATTATTCGGACTCTTTTCCCTTTTGCTGATTTCTTTTCATTTTCATTGTGATTTTTTTTGGTTTTGGGGGTTTGGGGGCTGTTGCTACCAGACTATTTTTTACCATAATTTTGTAGTGTTTTCTTAAATCCCTGGTAAAGTAGGCCTTCCCTCCTTATTTTCCCAGATGACTTACCCATTTATTTTTCCAGATGACATTTACAGTCAGTTTATTTGGGGCCCATTTTCAAAGAAACTCCTGACGAGGTTCGATTGGGAATGCGTCAGCTTTGGGGCTGAGCGTCAAAGCAGGTGTGCAGGGCGCGCTGTGCACAGCGGACCCCGGTGCTGCCACTCGTGCGAGCAGCGGAGCTGACCCCGCCTCCCCGCAGGGGCAGGATGCCGTGGCTGCGGTGGCTGCGGTGCGCGTGCACTTCTGGCCGGCGCTGACGATGAACTGGAGGGTCTGGACGCCCGTGCAGTTTGTCAACATCAACTACATCCCGCTGCAGGTGAGGCCGCCCGTCCGCGCGCCCTGTTCCCCCGCATGCCCCCGCATGTCGCTGAGTGGAGCAGCCTCCCGGCTGGTCCCGCCTCATCCCACTTCCTCCTCGGGCTCGGGCTGTCCAGTGGCGGGACATGCCCTGGGCATCTACAGCCGTACCTGGGGGGGGGGACACCTGGGGGTGGACACCTGGGAGGTGGGGGTGGCCCTGAGGGGGCAGGTTCTGCAAAGCCCCTCTGGGAGGCTGTAGGCAGCCTTGGGAGAGCGAGTCGCAGTCAGGGCTGGGGCCCCCGGTGCTGCTCACGCTGGCGTGAGTGCAGCCAGGGTCACCCCAGCCAGCAGGCCTAGGCTCTGCGCCTCAGGGCGCCCCACGGGGATCCTGCAGGCCTGCACAACACACACGTTGCACACTACACACACTACACGTCTGTTAGACATAGAAACCACATGTGTGCATGCACAGACACACCACCCACACATGCCGCTCAAGCTATCCTGGGGATAAGGAAGGGGTCAGTTTGGCCCCGGGGAGGCCGGGAGCAAGCTGACTGGGCAGAGGGGCCCACAGAGGCTGAAGACCCTCATGTGCCTGTGGCTCGTCCAGCTGTGCTCAGCCCAGCTGTGCTCAGCCCAGCTGTGCTCAGCCCTGGGGAGGGAGGAGGTCTTTCCAGGGAGTGCACAGAGGAACACAGGGCAAGGAACCTGCAGCTGTGGGCTGAGGATTCCAAGGAATTTCGAGGAGGAAATAAAGACGGGAAGACAGAGTATCCAACAGCGTGGAGGGCCCTAGGATGGAAGAGTGGAGAGGCAGGAAGGGCCTCCAGGTAGCCGAGGGACAAAAGTGGGAGGCTGTGGTTAGAGCTTCCATTTTTAGGTGGTTGCAGGTGTTTAAGGGGCAGTGGAGTTTACTCAACAAAAGTCCCCTGGGCACCCACTCTGTGCCTGCTGCTCTAGACCCTGGGGACACCGTGGTCAACCAGGTGGATGGGACGGCCCCTTCCAGGAGCCATGTGCCAGGGAGACTCAGCACCTGGCCAAAGGTGATTTCAGGTGGGAGCAGCTCTATCACGTCATGAAAGCAGGGAAGAGGGACCGTGGTGAGCTGGGGTCAAAAGGGCAGGGAGGGGCCGGTGTGAGCCGTGCTCCCCACAGAGGGGGCAGCCGCCACCTGAGGTGTGCAGTGAAGGAGGAAAGCGCCAGTGATTTGCTTTTGTGATGACCGAGCTGCTGTTTCCGTCGCCCCGGAAGTGTTGTCAGGAGGGGACTGTTTGTCTTCCTCACCCCTCTGCCGGGGCACCAGCGTGAGGCTGTGTGCAAACCGCAGGCGCGGTGATACGGCAGTGGGCGGGTGGGTTGAACAAATGAGCTCTGTCCTGGGGGACTGATGCTTGGCAGCTGCGGTCACAGCGTCCCACTCACCACAGCCCGACTCTTCTCTCCGGCAGTTCCGGGTGCTTTTTGCCAACCTGGTGGCTCTGTTCTGGTACGCCTACCTGGCCTCTCTGGGGAAGTGAGGACGGCAAGGGAGAAGGTCAGACACTGTGGACAGGGGTCTGGGGGAGCCTCGCCTGCGCAGAGAACAGAAGCAACTCAGTCAGGACTTTATCTGACCCTAAATCATGTGATTCAAGATGCCCTAAAATAACGGATGGAGAAACAGATTTCTTAATGTCAGAATCTTGTGTTTTAAAAAGGCAGTAGCTGATTTCAGATGGTGCTGCCCTAGAAACTTACACTACGGTAGAGATGATGTCACTTGTCACCTTGGACTGAATCGGGATCACAATAAACCATAATGTGGCTTCTTCGGTGGTGATTTCAGTTTCTCAGAACAATTGCTGTTGCTCTGGAAGAAATGCACAGCCAGATTCTGTTTTTACTTTTTTCTTTTTTATTGTGGTAAAACACACATAACACAAAATTCACCATTTTAGGCTGGTCTGATGGTAGTGGGTTATTAAAACTTATTAACACTAGTGTCACTGAAGTTGGCATACAACCCCTCACTGCTAAATTTGACAGGCTTAAAAAATTTTACTATTTTAACCATTTTTAAGTGTATAGTTCAGAGGCATTAAGTACATTCACAGTTGGTACAACCACCACCACTACCCATTTCTAGGACCTTTTCGTCATCCCAAACTGAAACTGTATCCCCATTAAACCCTAACTGCCCCCCTCCCCGGTCCCTCCCCTCATAACCTCCATTCTACTGTCTCTGTAAATTTGACTCTAGGTGCCTCAGATGAATGGACTCACATAGTATTTGTTCTTTTATGACTATTTCACTTAGCATGGTATCCTCTATGGTTTGAATGTGGTATCCCCTCCAAAATTCACGTTAAAATTTAATCCCCATTCTGGGGGTATTAAGAGGTGGGGCCTTTGGGGAAATGATTAAGACACAGGGACCACCCTCATGAATGACTGGTGCCCTCATACAAGAAGCTTTCGGGTCTACCCTCTTGTCTTCCCAAGCCCTCCTCCACGTGGGGACACAGCAGTCCTCCCCTCCCCTCCGGAGGGTGAGTAACGGGTGCCTTCCGGGAAGCAGAAATGTGGGCCCTCTCCCAGCTGGCACATTGATCTTGGACTTCTAGCTGCCAATACTGTGAGAAATAAACTTCTATTGTTTATAAATAACCCAGTTTGCAAGATCTTGTTAAACACAAATGGACTAAGACAATATCCTCAGGGTTTATCCATGTTGTAGCATGTGTCAGAATTTCCTTCCTTTTTTTCACTCATTTTTTTAGAGACAGGGTTTCACTGTCGCCCAGGCTAAAGTGCAGTGGCGCGATCATAGCTCACTGCAGCCTCCAACTCCTGGGCTTAAGTGATCCTCCTGCCTCAGCCTCCCAAGTAACTGGGGTTACATCTTTCCTTTTTAAAAAGACTGAATGTTCCACGGTGCATAGACCACGTTTTATTTATCCACTCATCTTTCAATGGCCATGTAGGCTATTTCCAACTTCGGGCTACATAGGGTGATGTTGCTGTGAACAGATACCTGCTCATGTCCCTGCTTGCCCACAGATTTTCAAACAGCTGCTCTTGGTTCAGAATACAGAGGGGTGGTGGGATAGTTCCCAAAAGAATTTTGGGGCATTTTCAAAAGTGACACAGATGGTCCTACAATTCACGTGAAAGGTGACAATTCCATCTGTGCCTCTCATCTGCCACTTCCCAAGGAATCCTGTCCCACTGGCCGTGATGGAGGATGAGGATCTGGATCTCAGAGCAGATTCTAGATTTGATTCTATAGAGCAGTCACAGTACCAACAGTCTGCCAGGAGATTGCTCTTCTGAGAGCTTCATGTGCGTTAGCGTTACTTGATCCTGCAACAATCCTGTGAGGTAGGTACTATTGTTTTCTCCATGTTGCAAATGGGGAAACCGAGGCAAGACCCCCTCAGCTAGCAAGAGACAAATCCTGGATTCAGTCGGGTTCCTGAGCTGCTGGCTTTACCATCTCATCACACAGCCTCTCAGTGTCAGGGAGAGGTTAAAACAGAGAGTTCACTGGGGAAGGGTTTTGTTTTTAAGTCGTGTGAATTCCTGGTGTTACCTGGCTGACCATAGTCTGCGTTCCCTCAAGTTTGTTTGACACACGTTTACTGAGTGCTGTCGGCACACGGCAGGGCAGAGGGGCAGGAGTTTTTAGTCTCCCCAGGTGAACACTCACAAGTAATGTGGAAAACAGACATCTGTGAGTGGTTAGGTGAGCTGGAAATAGTTCTGAGAAAGCACTTTTTCCTGTATTTAGGTCTAAGTGCCTTGACCAAATCATATTTTAATTATATCTGAACGAAATGAACCCATAAGTCTATGAAACTGCATCGAGTGGAACGGTACCAGAATCCACCGTGTACTGCCGAGGGCTTGCTTTCTCCAAGCACAACTGACATGGAGACTTTTTGATTGCAATGAGATGGAAATTGAAGGACTCCAAGAAAGAGAAAGTCTCTTGAGACAGAAAAAAAGGGTTTATTTCTTTAAAATGCTGTGATGGCTCGCACAGCATTTGCTCTGCCTAGAACAGAGTAGTGTGTTTCCAATCAGATGGTCTAGAGCCCCCAAGCTGGTTCAGCTCAGCCACGGCTGGGGATGCCAGCAGAGGTGCCAGCTTCCTCCACCAGAGCTGTGCAGCACAGCGCTGTCCCAAAGTGTGTGGGGGAGATGGCTATGGCAGGGGTGTCCTCTTCATCTGATTTCCTCAGGGCAGAAAACTTAAGCCAACAGGCACAATGACAAATCTCACCTGGCTTGGGAGACCGAGGATCAAGTTTCTCAGAGAAACACTGTCGCTCCATAAATTAATATTATTATATTAGAGACAGAAATGGTCTCAGGAGTTTTGCAGGACTTTGCCCTGAAGGAATATGTGAACGTGTTAGTTTGTATATCAAAAGCTGCTCCACCTCAGGAGGGCATCTCAAAGGTCAGCAGCAGTTGCTTTCCAAGGTGACGATGCTGTGGTCTCAACCCCATGATCCTCACCTGCTTTGAACGACAAAGCAAGTGTGCATGGAACCACGGGGTGAGAGCTGATCAAAGAATGCCTGCCCAAAAGACAGACACCTGCAGCTAAAAACAATTAGCTCAAGGGACAGTTCCTGCTTGACTTCTGATCACCTGTCTCTATCTGCAATAACTAGATAAAGAAGTATGGAGCCACTATAAAACAGTTAATTAAGGGATCTATGGAAGCCTTTTGAAAGACTTTTAACCCTAAACAAACTACCTGTTATTATGTAAATCTGTTTCTCTGGCAACCAACCTTTGTACCTATAAATACCCATGTAAAACTTCACTCATGGCCTCACAATTGACGGGGATATTCGAGAGGACTCGAGTACCCCCGCTTTGCCTTTTCTTTATATAAAACTATACCTTCATCTCTGTATTCTTTTATTTCTATTATTTTCCATTTTCTATTATTTTCTTATCCTTTGTTACGACCCCTACCTAAGGGACCTGATTTTTTGCTCGGAGTGTAGCTAACTCCTCACAAAACATAACAAGCAAGCGTGGGTGGGGGAGGAGGGGAGGGGTGTACATACCTAATGGATGCAGTGCGCACCGTCTCAGGGATGGACACGCTTGAAGCTGACTCAGGTGGGACAAAGGCAATGTATGTAACCTAAACATTTGTACCCTCATAATATGCTGAAAAAACAAACAAAAAACCAAGCGTGGTTTCTCAGCAAAGGGCCAGGAGCAGAGGACTAACAGGACACACACCCCGTGCCCACGTGCAGCCTATCTTTTTATGTATGTATGTGCGAATGAATGAATGAGTGAGGTGGAGTCTGCTGCCGTGGCTAGAGTGCAGTGGCGTCATCACAGCTCACTGCAATCGCAAACTCCAGGACGCTAGGGATGCTCCCGCCTTGGGCTCAGATTACAGGTGTGAGCCACCACGCCTGGCCCAGCCTACTTTCTTTAAAAGACGCAGAGCAGCAGGCGTCTTGCTCTCAGGCAAAGTACTGATCTCAGTCTGTGACCCTATTGGTTTCTGACACGGGGAGGTGTCAGTGGTGCTGTTGTCTCGCACATTAGTTCCCTATTGCTGCTCTAACAAATTACTGCAAACTCGATGGCTTAAAATAACAAATTTACTATCTTGTGGTTCTGGAGGTCAGAAGTCCAAAATGGGTCTAATAGGGCTAAAATAGGGTGACGGCACGGCTGTGTTCCTGCAGGAGGCTCCCCAGGAGCATCCATGTCCTTCCCTGTTCAGTTCCTCGAGGCACCCACATTCCTTGGCTCACAGCCAGTGTCCCTCGAACCTCCGCTTCCATCCCCACATCTGACTCTCCTCCCGCCCTCTTACAAAGACCACTGCAATTACATCGGGCACATCTGGATAACCCAGCATACTCTCCCCATCTTGAGGTCCTTAATCACATCTGCAAAGCCTCTTTTGCCACGTAAGGAAACACATTCACAGATTCTGGAGGTTAGGACATGGCGGGGCCAACCGCACCTGGTCTTAGCCTCTCATGGGGGATTTCCCCAAAGGTCTCCCATAACTCGCAAGAAAAGCAGCTGACTACGTGTTGTGCGCACAGCTTAGGTTTCACTCCATGTGGGAGGAATGCTCATGTGTCTGTTCCCTCAGCTACCCCCTCGGACGAGTATGAGTAAGCCTCTTCAGAGCAGTCTCTCTGCGTTTGTTCCCCAGCACCTACATAACGTCTAAGAAAGAGTGGACAGTCGGTGTTTGGTGAATGAGGAAGGCAAGACTCTCCTGCTGTTAGAGATAAATGGGGCTCAGCAGTCTGTGGCCTGGCGTCCTGCTGCACCCCTCAGGCAGCACTGGCCCTGTGCAGTACACACCTCATCCTTGCAGGAATCACGCCACCAGCACTCACTTCCTTCCTTGTTTCTCCCTCAAAAACAAATCCTCCCACCTTGCTAAGATTACAGGCATGAGCCACCACGCCCGGCCGATCTCCTCAGTTTCATATGCCTACCTTTCGGCTGTTTTTTGTCTCTGCTCTCCTGTTGTTCATTTCCAAGCACCTCTTACCCTTTTTTTCTCATTCTGAGAACTTTTTTTTTTTTTTTTTGAGACAGGGTCTCCCTGTGTTGCCCAAGCTATAACACAGTGGCATCATCATAGCTCATTGCAACTCCTGGCCTCAAGTGATCCTCTTGTCTCAGCCTCCTGAATAGCTGGGACTACAGGCATGCACCACCATGCCTGGCTAATTTAAAAATTTTTTGTAGAGACGAGGTCTTACCCTGTTGCTCAGGATGTTTCAAAGTTCTGGCCTCAAGTGACCCTCCCACCTCGGCCTCCCAAAGTGGTAGGATTATAGGTTTGCACCACTGCACTTGGCCTGAGAACCTTCTTTCTTGATAGTAGCATTCCATTCTTGTTTCATGGATACAATATTCCTCGAGATTTCAGTTATATGTTTTTGGAAGTTTTCTTCTGAGTTGTGCTGTTTCTATTTTCTTAGAGTTAGTTTTTTTGTTGTTGTTTATTCATTTGTTCTGGTCTTTATCTTTCGTGATCAGGATTTCTGCAAATGTTTGTTGATCCTTGGTTGCTCATTAATGTTTGATTCAAAGGCACTAAGGCATTCTTTGGAAGCTGAGTGTGTGGGCTGCACTTGTCAAATGGTGCCTTTACTGTGGGCTGATCAAGCAGGGACCCAGTTTTGTTGGGGGTCACTCACTCTCAATAACTGAGGTCTTTTCTCTTGGGCTGGCAGTTTCCACAAGAGGAATCCTTTAACTTCTTGCCTTGGGGAAGGATGGTGGTGATAGTGGAGCATGGTATAAGCCTAGTGGCCAACAAAAAATCTTGTGGCTAACTTGAGGAAAGGGGTTAGAGGTCCTACTATTCATTACGTGAACTTCATGTACTCCCGTATTTACTACTGCATCCCACTCTAACCTGTGCTTGGTGTCCTCAAATCTAGAGTCCCCTGGTTCAAATCCTCTGGAACAGAATTTCTCTAGTGTTCTGCCACTGTGGAGGTGATGTATGCACCTGAATGTACGCATGAGAAAGGGCATGTAAAGGGCAACCACTTTTTACAGACTTTCGGTCAGTTGTCCTGTTTTTATCCCTCCCCACTGTCCTCAGATGTGGGGCTAGAACCTGCAGCCTTGGGGCCACATGTGGCCTTCTGGATTCTCGAGTGCAGCCTTTTGAATGGAACCAAATTTTACAGAACAAATCCTTTTAATAAAGGGATTTGTTTTGTGAACCTTGGATCAGGCGGAGGGGCCGCACTGGGGGATCTGGAGGGCCACATGTGGCCTGAGGCTGCAGGTTCCCCACCCCTGCCCAAGACTCTTCTAGATTCACTTGCTTCTTGGTTTCCTTCCGTGTCGGCAAGTGGTGTTCTGTTTTCTCAGGTAAATAAAGATCTGAATTCCAGCTTTTCAAAATTTTGTTAACTTTTGCAGCAGTTTTTTATCATGGATTCAACTATGTCCTTGTGGATTTGTCTTTTCAAAAGATTAAAATTTAAAAAAAAATCTTTTTAGTATTATTTTAGTAAACGACCTGTGGAAGAAGCAGACCTAAATGTATGGGTTCAAGACACCAAGCTTAAGCAGAGGCATGGGTATTTCTGTGGAAAACATTAATTCTCCAAAGTGATTTTGTAAAAACGCAAATTACATCACGTCACTTTCCAACTTTAAAATGTGCAGATATAGTCCAGCAATCTCACTTCTGGGTACAGACCCAAGGAATTTAAGGCAGGGTCTCGAAGAGGTATTTGTACACCTATGTTCACAGCGGCTTTAGTCACAGTAGCCAGAAAGTGGAAATAACCCACGTGTCCAACGACGGGTGAACGGATAAACAGAATGTCGTCTACCCACACGATGCAATTTTATTCGCCTTAAAAGGGAATTCTGACACGTGCTGTAACATGGAACTTGCACGACATTATGCTAAGTGAAACACGCCCGTCACGAATGCGCGAACGCTGCGTGGTTTCACTTATACGAAGTAGCTGGCGTGGCTGAACCGACAGCAAGCAGAACGGTGGGCGGGCACCGAGGGGAGAGGGCGTCACTGTTTGATGCGGGCAGAACCGAAGTTCGGGAAGATGGAAAGGTTCTGAAGATACATGGTGGCGATGGTTGAGGACAACAGCGACGTACCTAAAGCGAACGGACTGCGCTCTTAGAAGCGGCTAAGATGGTAAACTTTGTGTGCTCTACCACAATAAAACATTTTTTAAAAAGCGAAAACCTTCTAGAGGTTGTGAGTTCACCCGAAGCCCCAAGTTCTTATCTGTGGGACCCTGCCAGTCCTTCCGCGGCATTTCTACACTGCCGCCACCTCCTTCCTGCCTCGGGGCCTCGGCCGGCCTCCCCGGGCCGCATCCCGGCGCAGCCTCCCCACCGCCCGCGTCCGCCCCGCCCCGACGCCGGCCCACCTGTGCCACGGCGGGGAGCCCCAGGAGCCCCCAGGGCTGGCGGGACGGATGACGCGACTCCAGGGTCTTCTGCAGACGTCGAGGGAAGGTCTCGGTGAAGAGGCGTCCCGAACCCTCGAAAACCCCGCGAGCGGCGCCCAGCTCCGCCTCTCTCCGAAGGTGTGGCCGGGAGCTCTGAGCGTCCCTGCGGCCCGGGAGGCGGGACTTCCGCCAGGCCCGCCGGAAGCGGCTCTCACCTTGTCCCTCGCGGCGCGCCGTCCGGGCCGAGTGCGCCTGCGCGGGCCGGCGCGGAGCGGGCGGCATGGCGTTCCGGCAGGTGCTGCAGCTGGCGGCCTGCGGGCTGGCCGGGGGCTCGGCCGCCGTGCTCTTCTCGGCCGTGGCGGTGGGGAAGCCGCGCGCGGGCGGGGACGCGGAGCCGCGCGCGGCCGAGCCGCCGGCGTGGGCGGGGGGAGCGCGGCCGGGGCCCGGCGTCTGGGACCCCAACTGGGACAGGTGCGCCTCTGCCCGGGGCGGGGGCTCGGCGGGGCGGGCGGGGTCGTGCCCGGGGCGCTCGGAGCGGCGGGGCCGGGCTGGAACCTCGCGTCTCGGGTCGCGCGGCGGCCACAGGTGGTGACTGAACGTTTGCAAATGGCGCGCGTGAATGCGGAAGAGTAGTCTTAGTTTCATTTCACTTTAACTTAAAAGCAAAAGCATTGCAGGTTTTAATATTCATTACGTGTTGAGATGATAGCATATTTGGCATATTGGATTAAATAAAGTGTGATGTTGAAATTTCACCTGTTTCTCTTTTTTAATGTTGCTACTAGAACGTTTAAAATTACGTCTTGCTGGCATTCTGTTTCTATCGGGTAGGTTCTGGAGGTGGGAAGCAGTCCTTGTGGGACGGTCCTTACTGCGCTTGATAGCGTGAGAAAAGGGGCACAGAACTATTATTTGTTACTATAGTTGTATTAGGAGCTTCATAGATACATTTTTAATTTAAAAAAAATAACTTTTAGTTTACAGAAAAATTGCAAAGAAAATAGAGTCCCTTTATATCCTACACCTAATTTAACATCTTACACCAGGTGTGGTGTGTTTGTCACAGTTAATGAACCAATATTGATATGTTATTATTAACTTAAGTTCATGCTTCATTGAGATTTTTTAAAATTGGTTTTTCCTTAATGTCCTTTGTTCCAGGATCCCACAGACAATTAGTCTTCATGTCTCCTTAGGCTCCTTTTGGCCGCGGCAGTTTCTCAGACTTTCCTTGTTTTGATGATCGTGACTTGTTTTGAGGAGTCCTGGTCAGCTACTTTGTAGCAGGTCCCTCAGTTGGTATTGTCTGATGTTTTTCTCTTGATAGACTGGAGTCATATTCTCTTTTTTAAAAATCAGTACATTCTGAATTTCTTAGGCCTTTTTAAGGAACCAGATTCACTCTGAGGTTAAAGAACTTGCCTGAAGTAGAACCAACAGTTGAATCCAGCGTCATCTGATTTAAGCCGATGTTCTGTGTTTGCTTGTCATGTCTAGATTTATGAACGGGGAACACTGGGAGAAGAGAACTGAGCCTCGTGGGGTGAGGAAGGACTCATGACAGACAAGGCATGAGCCATTGCAGCAAGGTGCCAGAAAGGGAGCACTTTTCCTCTTGTATGCCATAGATCCATGCTAGAAGTTTCCAGAGCCTCATCTGGTTAAACCTCCAGCCTTTTCTGGGACTTCAGGTAGTCCATGGATACCTGCCTCTGTGCCTGTAGCTCCCAAATGTTTGCTCTGGCCCCTCCAGACTTGCCGGTGCAGTACAACAGGCGCCCAGGTTAGCACGGCCCAAACACCCCGAGGCACCATTACGCCTTTCCAAAACTTGCTCTTCCACCATTGTCTCTGCTGAGCAAATTCTGGCAGGTTCAACTTGTGCTGTTCCCATTCGCTGCCACGTTTAACTTACTAGCTTCAGCTCTGTGAGCCACCAGACGCTGACCTGGCCTCTCCTGACCTGATGGGTTCCTCCATGTCCCGGCAGCTCAGGAATAGGACTCTGTGATAACGGGAATGTTTCTTTCTTGCTGTCCAACACGGTAGCCACTACCCGAAGTGAGCATTTAAATGTGCTCAGTGTGACTGAGGAAATGGAGCTCTAATTTTATTTAATTTTAATTATTTTGAATTTAAACAGCCACACAGCTAGTGGCTACTGCTGGTCAATGCGGTTCTAGGGTCTGCTGAAATGTTACCGTCGGTGAGACCGTTCTGGCCACCCTGTCGACACTCCCCCCCGCCCCCCATCCTGTTACCTGGTTTTGTTCCCCATGTGCTTGATTGTGCTCTGGGTTGTCTGCTGATTGTCTGCCACTCCTCACTGAAACGTAAGTTGCACAGGGCTTCACTTGTCTGTTTTGTTCACCACTGCGTCACCCAAAACAGGCCTGGAGCTGGCTTTCGGGATACAGAGTGGAGTGTGCTCTGAGAGGCTGGTCTCCAGGGCAGTGCCGAGGGCCCTGGCCTCTCCCCTGAGCTCTTCCCAATCAGTCTGAGGATTTGGAAATACCATCTTATCAGAAATATTTAAAGGTGACCTGGGAACAGAGGTCACAAGGACATACCATCTTGTGTTTCAACATTAGGCGAGAACCATTGTCTCTGATCAACCTGCGGAAGAGGAATGTGGAGTCCGGAGAAGACGAGCTGGCTTCCAGGCTGGACCACTACAAAGCCAAGGCCACGCGGCACATCTTCCTCATCAGGCACTCCCAGTACCACGTGGACGGCTCCCTGGAAAAGGACCGCACCCTGACCCCACTGGGTACGTGACTGGGGCTCGATTCCCGGCTGACCCCCCTTGGTCATCTTTCTCGAAGGTGCACCAGGCATTGGGCCTCCTTGAACCTGGGTCAGAGACGTTGTCATTGTCAGTGACGGTCAGCTGAACTTGGACAGGAGACAGGCTTTTAAAAATGTCCTTCACTTTAAAAAACTATTGTGATTGGCCTTGCTTGCAAGAGGTCCGGTGCAGTGCGTATTCTAGCAGGGGCTTTGTGCTCCCCGGGGCGACTGAAGTCAGCACAACTTTCACGCTGCATTTTTCTTGACTTAATTTACTGCTGAAGATCCTTCCATCCAGCAGTTACAGATCTGCTTGGCCTCTGTGTCGTGGGGTTCTGTTGAACAGACAAGACAGCAACAGAAAGTCCCAGCTGTCCCCGACAGACCTGCGGTTGCTGGTTTCTTGGGGCTGTAACCAGTGCTGCCAGGAATGTCTCTGTGCCCGTGCATGGGTCTGTAGGAGAAAGTGCTGGAGAAGGAAATGCAGGGTGGTCTGAGGTACAGTTTAAGTGTTTAAAAATCGGTTTGAGTGGGATCCTGCGCATTCGTGCACACATTTGGTCAAAGGGTTTATAGGCCTGTGCTGGAGCAGACACTGCCCCTCCCTGCACAGCTGCTTCTGGCTCCTGTGCACAGGTGGAAAGTGAAGCAGCTAGCAGATGTCACCACACCCAAAGGAAACCGACTTCCTGAGGGCGTTTTCAGCCAGATGCTAAAACACGTGAGAAAACACATTTGTACTTGCATCCAGTCTCAGCCTGGTAACCCTGAGATGTTCAGTTCTTACGAATTGACGTCCGTGACCTCACACGGCCAGTGGGTCACACAGCCGAGTAAGAAGGGTGCGAGGGACCCAGAGTGGGAACAGGGCCCACCCGAACTCCGACAGTCATCAGGTCTGGCGTTGGTGGTGTTCATGGAACCAGATGTGTTTTTTCTATGTGGGGGTTGAAAACAGCTGGATTATCGTGTGCTTTTGCTAACTGGGTACAGGGGCCCTGGGGTGGTGCTTGGTGCCTAACCGGGCTTCACTCCCTGTGCAGTGAAGGAGGGACCCAGGCACACGTAGTTCTAAGGTGTGTTTCGCCTTCAAGGTCGCGAGCAGGCTGAACTAACTGGGCTCCGACTCGCGAGCTTGGGGTTGAAGTTTAACAGAATCGTCCACTCCTCCATGACCCGTGCAGTGGAGACCACCGACATCATCGGGAGACACCTGCCAGGTGAGTGCTCTGCGTGGGGGCCTGAATGCTGAGCCGCGGCGCAGGTCACGGGGTAGCTCCCTGGAGGAGACGCCAGCCGCGCGTGTGACGGCAGCACCCGGGCTCCCCCGTGCCTCTCCCCAGGCGTCTGCAAGGTCAGCACAGACCTGCTGCGGGAGGGCGCCCCCATCGAGCCAGACCCACCGGTGTCGCACTGGAAGCCAGAAGCTGTGGTAAGAACACCTCCCCGCGCAGCCCTCAGCCGGTGTGTCTGGCTGTCCCCTGGCCGCCCGGGCAGTGGCGTTGCCTGTGTGTTCGCACACTGACGCCTCCTTACTCTGCCCCCAGCAGTATTATGAAGACGGAGCCCGGATCGAGGCCGCCTTCCGGAACTACATCCACCGGGCAGATGCCAAGCAGGAGGAAGACAGTTACGAGATCTTCATATGTCACGCCAACGTCATCCGCTATATCGTGTGCAGGTAGGGGCCGGCCAGGTTGTGCTCGGCCTGAAACGATCTTAGACTTAGAGGAAAGTAGCAAGAACGGGACAGAATTGGCGGCTACCCTGCCCCGGCCTCCCCGCAGCTGACACTTGCCACCCACCGGCAGCCTCGGGACGTGGTGCCTTGTGGTCACTGTCCCTGGGCTCCAGCAGCCCGTGAGGGTCCTCAGCCTCGTCTCTCGTAACCGGGACCCTCTTGATGAGCCCCAGTCAGTTGTCAGGCAGAACGTCATTCATGTGGAGTTTCTCACGATTGTGTGTTTTTGGGAAGAAGAGCGCAGACAGTTGAGGTGCCTGACGCTGGCGGGTCGCTGTGGTGACCTGGGTCAGGTGGTGTGCGCTGGACTCGTCATACTCGACCTGGTCATTTCCCCTTGGAAACTGATACATGTCCCAGGGGACCGCAGACGTCCTGTCTCAGACCGACGCTGGCTGCTCTCGGCACCCGTCATGGTCCTGCTGGCACGTCCTCACTCTGGTGTCTGTGCCACGGCGACCGAGTCCTCCTGTAGGAGGCTCAATCTGCGTGCGGGCGCAGGCGCGGGGATGTCCGCTTTGTTCCGTGGGCTGCGCAGGCTGCTCCTTCAAGGGGCTCCCGCTCTCTGGCACCACAGATTGTTCCGGGCTCAGGTTGTGTTTTCCCTGCCACGGCCCTGGAATCAGCCATGTCACAGAGGCCCCTGGGTGGTGAGGCCGGTTACGTGCTTGAGTTTGAAACAGGTGAAACAATCCACCGAATCTCACTAAATGCCAAATTGGCTTCGGTAGTGGAGGGTTTCTCTTCTCGAGGGACAAGGCTGGCAGGAGCAGGACAGGACAGAACCGGGCAATGATGCCGTCTGATGCCAGGACCTGGGTCTCTGCCTGCGTGTCCCGTGGGCCTGTCCCTGGGGCTGTGGATGGTGATGTCCCCTCAGGTGTCACAGTTGTCCGTGGTCCTGGCAGGATGCCCGGGATGGTTGGGGGCACCATGGTCCAGAGGGCAGCGGCCCCCGGAAACTCGGACGTGGGGAGCCGGGGTTCCTCAGCTGTTGGTGGGAGGGGGACGTGGTCCCGGGCTGCAGCGCTGGCCCTGAACTATCTCGGTCACATCTTCGTATGCCCGTGCAAAAACCATGTGGGTGATTCCTGTGCTTACGTTAACGTGCTATCACGTGTTCCGTGACACAGTCACTAGCAGGTGACATCAGCGCTGACAGTGCACCAGAAGTAATCGGGAACTTGAGAGTAGAGCTCACCCGTGCCAGGTAAAGCGTGACGAGGAAAGCCAGATGGTTGCCAGCTGGCACGTGACAATCCTCTGTGCTGCTCTGCCCAGGAGTGCGGCCCCCGCGGTGGGGCAGTGCCAGGAAGTCAGCGGGAGGGCGTGGGGTGGCCGGAGACTAGGGAGGTGGGAGCAGCACTGAGCTGCTCAGCAAGTACTAACTGTGCCTAAAAGGTGCTTTTAAGAGCATGAAGAGTGCCACGGGCTGGGGGTCACGACCCTGTCCGTTCCTGGGAGCAACTACGTGAGTTTCTAGAACCCGTCTGCTGTGCCATTCGCCTGCCCCTCCCCCCCGCCGTCACATACGAAAGCAGGTAAACCACATGTGCTTGTGAGAAGCAACGTGTTTCTGACTCACATGCAGCTCTTGAGCTGGGCTCAGTCCCAAAGAGGGCAGGTCCCTTATTTGTTGGGTCAGTTGCCATCGATCCCAGGCAGCTCCTTCCTCTGATAACCCCCTGGCCGGAAGACAGGGAAGACTCAGCCGGCGTGGGGCCCACCCGAGTGTGCTGAGACCCCAGCCCTGCTGTGAGCAGAGCGGAGCGTCCCCGGCCGCCGCCCGCTGCGAGGGGCAGAGCTGCCTTGCTCCAGCGCGTTCTCTCCCTCTTTCCTCCCAGAGCGCTGCAGTTTCCTCCCGAAGGCTGGCTCCGCCTCTCCCTCAACAACGGCAGCATCACCCACCTGGTGATCCGACCCAATGGCCGAGTGGCGCTCAGGGCCCTTGGTGACACAGGGTTCATGCCCCCCGACAAGATCACCCGGTCTTGAGGGCTGTCCGCCAAACTCCACCCTCCTCCTCAGCTCAAGACCTGGCTCTGGCCGCGGCTTCCTTCCGTCTTCCCTGTACAGGCTGCGCTGCAGTTACGTGTTGTTTCTGAGGACGAGGCCGGCAGAAAAGTGGAAATGTCTAAAATGCTGCATTTGGGTGCTTATTCCTGGCCCAGGCTGCAAAGGGAAAAATGTGGATCAGACAGCCTGACTTCTTTGCATGGTTTTCTACCTTCCTGTGACCTGCCAGGATGACTCGGGGGCTGAAGTGGAACCTCGGACAGAAGTCAGGCCCGTTTGGGGACAGACTGACTCACTCTGGGCGACCCTGGGGCTCCCGTCAGGAACCTGTCGGGCACAAGGGTCTGCTCACAACCCATTTTACTTCATACATTCTTTGGTTTCTCAAAACCCTTTGTCACTTAAGTATTTGTCATTTAAAGATTTTCCTGATCTGGGTTCTTGCTTGGAAAACCAGTTTCTCGCTCCAAAGTCACAGATCCCCAGCGCCGTTGGGTCTGATCCCCTACTCTACCAGGACTTCCAGGGCACAGGGACTTGCCAGCTACGCAGATGAACTCGGACAGGTGAGGGACGAAACAAGTCTGTGGCGGTGACGTGACCTGGACCTTCGGTCTCGAGGGAGGTGCAGGCTGGTGACAGCCCAGGAGGGGTGTCCCGTTTCAGAAACTATCCCAGACTCATAGCTCAGTCTTAGTTTGCCCCTAGTTGATCTTTAATGCTTATGGATTAAAATATTTAAACATGATGTATCTATTTCAAATATTCTGTTAATTTAGGAAAAACTACAATTTCTATGAAGTGGTTATGAACATTTTCTGCAATCAATAGAACTGACTGGGATATCTGATCTATTTCTCTGTCCACTTTGGAAATAGATACATTAATAAAATTTTACTGGTTTTTAAAAAGTACTAATTGTGACTGTCATTAAAGAAAACGGGAAACCTGTGCAGGAGTGGTGTTACCAGAAAGTTCTCTGCCACAGGCTGGTGGCTTTGCTGTGTCTGCCCTGGCCGTCCTGCTCGGAGCACTTCCTGCCAGTGGCCTGAGGGCCTCTCTGCGTCCTTGACGAGTACAGCAAGCCTGATGAGTGGCTATCTAGAGCCAACAGCTGCAACAACCACGCACCGTTTTCTAGAACTAGTTTTTACAAGCCAGAGACTGTGCCAACTTCAAAATCACAGATAGCTGGCATGCTCACCTTTGACCTCAGATGGGAAGGACGCCCAAGGTCACAGCCGTGGCCTCCCAGGCAGTGAGGGGCAGCCCAGCCCCTGCACATCAAAGCCCTGACACTGGCCCTCAGCAAAGGGGGGCAGCACCGTAGCAAAAGCCTTAGCTTGGAGGCGGGACCCTGGCTCCTCTGTACCCTTGGGGTCTTCTTCGCAGTGGGTGGGACCCTGGGGCTGGGAGCCAGGCCGCACGCGTGGGTACCGTGGCAGCACAGCCCAGCGTCGGCAGGTGCCGGTTTGCTGGAGAGCAAAGTGCATCATAACGTGAAAGAACCACAAGTTAGCAGGCCCCGGTCCCCACCCCACGGTTCCCACCCCACGGTTCCCTCTCGTCTCTCCACATCACAGCTGTAGGATTTCATGTGAATCCAGCTCAAGCTGGAGACAAAACCTGTCGCGGGATGATCTGGACGCACCGACCAGTCCAAAGGAGAAGCTGGAGGGAGACCTCATGAGAACAGTGTTTTTTAATCCATGGATCACAAGAAACCAGTGACCCAGCAGCCTTCAAATGCTTCTGAAAAAAACCCCAAAAGGATACTCTTAAGAGTGTGCTGCTCGAGTTAAATTTAAAGTTCAGGATGTGAAACTGGGCTTTTAGACTGAAAAGTTAGGCAAAAAACTCAATGTTTGATTCGTTCTAAGAGCACAGAGCAATTATAACCTATATTTTCTTGAATACGGAACTTTTAATTTTAGTATTAAATATAAATTCTAATATAAATTTTCAGCAAACTTTGTTTTCCACTATTCACTATAAAACATTTGCTCTTCTAAGTGGTTTTTCCTTCAATGGCTTTTTCCAGCCAGACAACGAGGGCCACTATGCCTGGGAAGACCCAGCATTGGCAAGATGAGGGCAGTTTCTAGCTCGGGAGGTGAGTGGGGCAGTCAGTGTCTCGGGGGAGGAGGGTGTGCGGGCCTGACCAGATGCCAGGGCAGCCTCGGGGTCTCGGGCGTACACTGTGAATGCCTGGACTGGGGACAGGTCAGCCACGGGCCCAGTGACGTCACGACGGACACTCCCCTGGTTTGGGACAGATGCTCGAAGACTTCCCAAAGACTGGCAACACCACCCTACATCTGAAGAAAACTGCACCCTGGAAGCTGAGTGCCACCAGTGGGAGTGGCATGCCAGGAGATGGCAGCTGGCTCCTGGGGACAACCGTCTTGCTGTGTGTGCCGAAGTGTTTTCTTCTGAGATGGTTGAGAAAGGAACAAAACCAAGTGCAATCTGTACGGTAGAAAACACTCACGGGATTTTGACACGAGAAAAGCAAAACCATGTGCCTTCGACAGCCCAGCAGGCAACGCCTCGCTGAGGAAGACAACGCTGATGCCAGGCCCGACAAGGGCTCCGCAGCCATTCCCTCTGAAAGCTGTGGAAGTTTCTGGAAACATCCAAACATGACTCACAAGGACCTGGCTTGCTTCTCCCCAGGAGCGAACGACAGGCTCGGCACTCCTCACGCAGCCCACCCACCCGGTGCGCGGGCATCACCTCCTTCAAACCAAAGACTTCGCACCGACTGCCGACTCACAGAAGGTTCCCAGGCCAAGTGCAGCCACAAAATTTGTGCGCATTGAACTGAAGCCAGAAAGTGTTTCACAACCGTGCTAGGAAAGAAAGGGGCAAAACCAAAATAAATCTGAGTGCTCAGATTAATACTACTTTGAATTTTACCAAAAAGGCCAACGTGCCAGGCACAGGCGAGAGAGCTCTCTGAGGCTTAGAAGTGACGGCGCATTCGCTGGGACTGGCACCACCTCAGACAGAGGAGAAACAGTCAAAGGTGAAACTTGGAACCTTGGGAAACAGGAGCAGCAGGCCGTAAAACTAGGGCAGAAACACCTTTTTAATTTCGATTTGAATATTTACAATAATATACAGGACAATATGCCAAGATTCTAGAGAAAACAGATCATCACTGTGAATATAATATCCATATTCTGATTTCTTTTGAGAACAAAGATGCCCTTTTAAAATGCTGTTGCTTTTTAGAATAGCATGTCATTTCTGTCTCGTACCTAGATCTCATCTGCTACACAACAAATTAAAACACCCTGTGTAACAGACTTTTGAATTGTATAATCTAAATCTTGATTCCAATTTTCCTGACCTGTCTCTATTTTTTTTTAGAGATGGGGGTCTCACTATATTGCCCAGGCTGGACTTGAACTCCTGGGCTCAAGCGATCCTCTTGCCTCAGCCTCCCAAGTAGCTGGGACTACAGGCACGCACCACTGTGCTCGGCTGAAATAAGCTTTTTTTTTTTTTTTACACAAGTTTCAGTTCAGAATTTTTACAAACAAAAAACAATCTTACACCTACATAGTATCACTGTATATTCTCAAAAAGCAAGTTCAGGAAAATTAAAAATGATTTACAAAAGGCACTGAAGTTAGCAAAAACATTGGTAGTTTTTCCTTTTGGATTAGACACTGGAAATGTTCACAAAATACTGCTTGTGTATGAGCAGTTGTTTATAACACCCAGGAAGAAATCGGCCTTCAGCAAGGTTAGTTCTTCCCGGAATCTTCAGCACATGGTGCTGCGTTCTGCTCCCTGCTGCTCACACGCTGCAGACCCTGCCGCGGTCAGAGCCAAGCGTAACGGCTACAGTAAGCATTACAAGGAACTGAAACGGGACTCAAATTTCTGGTTTCTGGACTGTAAAGCAATGCTCTTTCATAAAGGAAATCCCAACTGGAATGAATTCTAAAATAAAGGATACATCTGCCATAGTCAGCCATATAATCATGTATGCTCAGCAAATCCTAGGAATAAATTTCAAAACTAGGAAACAATTTACAGATTATTTTATTATCTCTGCATTGGCAACTAAATAAAGTAGACTGAAAGCTCAAGTGCTGGTGAAAAATAAAACACCTTTTCATTATTGCTGGTGAGTTTTGTGGGACTATTTGCATAACTCCCAATGGCTAGACTTTCCCTAAGAGAAAAGCTACTTTTATCTTCTGGTCAATAATTTAAATGTTTTCAATGACCCAGATTATGAATATCGCTGCAAGTCTGAGACGTACTCCAGGTTCACTGCCTCCCTGCCATCTACCTCCTCCCTCCGTCTAAACCACAGGGTCAACCAGCAAACTGAGAGGGGTTCTGGCATCATCGTGTGCCAGACCGTCCAGGAGGTGCCCCCAGAAGGCAGGATGACACGCGATTGACCTTTGCGGGGACGTTGGCGCTAACGGCTCAGCCGCTCCCTCCCGAGTCTGGAGCGTTTGCTCAGGAGGTCTGGCGAGCACACGACCACCTGTCAGTAAATGGCCTCGGCACCTCTCTGTGGCATCCCAGACCCAGAAGTCCTGCCTACAAGGTCCGTACCCCTACTACGTCGACATTTTTCAGAAAATTTGTATCTGAGTTTGGTTTCATTAACTTCTTCCAACATACCAGAAATCTAAATTTTATATAGAACACTTGCATTTTCTAAAATCTTACACTCTCAAAGTGAAGGTTAATAAGTTAATCAGAATATAATCTTTTGTGAAATTTTAGCAAGAAACATATTACCCTTTCTTTAAAAACGGAGAGCAAAGCAGGAGCCCGGCAGCGAGTACCGACCCTACAGGGCGGCAAGCTCGGCCAGGCGCATGGCCCTGTGCAGGCGGCTCCCGTGTGCAGGGCTGTGGTGCCCAGGGCTGCCCAGGCCGGGGCAGCAGGAGGTGTGGCCGGGCTTCCCAGGGCTGCTTCCCGCAGGACCGCTTCTCCCTGGACTGCAGCTGTGAGGGCCCCCGAGATCCGGCAGCTGAGACTTGAACTTTCCTTTCAGTGCGGGGCTTGGCCAACTGGGGAAACCAAGGAAGGTCTGTTAGCACAGGTGTGCAGTCAGGGAGAGCAGAGGCAGAGGACCTGGGCACTGGCACCCGAGCCCCGGACACAGCAGAGGCACTTCTGAACTCAGAGCCACGGGCACAGGGAAATTTTAAATCTCTATGCATTTTCCACAAGAATTGTGTGTGACCCTGAGTGTGTGCCCTGACTGCTTCCGCCCCGGCAGCCCTCAGTTTGTCTGCAGCAGACCCACGCTGCCTTCCCACCTGGCTGGCTGGAGGTCCATCCTGTATGCGCAGAGCCCCCGGCAGGGGAGCTACACGTGTGAGCCTGGCTTTGGGACTGCCAGTGTCACGGAAGAGCCACTAACATGTTCACGTGACCATTCCAGGTGCTCCCTTCCAGCAACCACCCTGCAACAGTAAGACGGTTCTCTGGGTTCCCGCTGGTACCTCTGCCTGTCTGAGGGCGAGTAGCACAGGACGGCGCTCTTCCACCTGTGGACAGCCGGGTACTGACGGGGGTCGATGTCTGTGCATTCAAGAGCCGCCAACACATCTTGATCTAGTTTTGATGGCTCCTCTCTAGAATAAAAGGGATTCAAAAAAAAGCAGAAACAACTTTGGTAACAAACAAACAAAAAAAGACTTCCAAAGTATCACTGCAATTGTAACTCAAGAACCCAGCGTAGAACAAAATGACGCACGAGAATCTAGCCAGCCTGAGCACATGAACTACTGACCCATCACCGAGATCTCAGGGCATCCGCTGCAGGGGTGCACAGGCCAGCGTGCAGAGGAGTCTCCCAAGGCCAGGGAGGTGGATGAGGACGCACCGTCCTGAGAACAGAGGGCAGGAGGAGGCAGGGAAAAGATACCTCCAGGACGCCAGCTTAGGTCTCCTATGGTAGCAAGATCCACCCCTGCTATTAAAATATGGTTTAGGGGCTGTGCATAGTGGCTCGTGCCTGTAATCCCAGCACTTAGGGAGGCTGAGGCAGGAGGATCACTTGAGGCCAGGAGTTCGAGACCAGCCTGGGCAACATATCAAGACCCCGTTTCTATAAAACATAGAAAAATTAGCCGGGCATGGTGGTGTGTGCCTGCAGCCTAGATATTCAGGAGGCTGAGGCAGGAGGATCGCTTGAGCCCAGGAGTTTGAGGTTACAATCAGCTATGACGACACCACTGCACTCCAGCCAGGGTGACAGAACAAGACCCTGTCTCTCTAAAAAAACAAAACAAAACAAAAACGTTTTTTGTATATTTCCACCTTCAGGGGGTACTTAACACCAGACGGCTAGGGACTTCCATCACCTACAACACTGAGACTATCCCCAAGGTGGTTTTTCTTCCGAAAACAAACTGAAGTCTTGGAATAGATCCAGTCATTCTGGTTGCATTTACTCCCCTAGCAGGTAACAGCAGACACTAGAATCACCCCTGGCTAACCAGAGAGGTCCCCGAAGGAACATTCAGAAGCCACACACTCGAGACCAGATATGGGAGCTAAAAGAGAACGTCGGGCCGAACTGGGAAAAGACAGGGTTTAAAAGGAACTGGAAACAGAGCACAAGTGTGCGCAGGCGGCACACACCTACCCAAAAAGGAAGAGCCTGTGGGCAGTTTCCCGCGTGCTGGGGGCGGATGCAGGAGACTGAGGACCACACCCGCTCGGGGGCCCCTGCCGGGGGCTGCTGGGGCCCAGGGACATCTTAGCAACTCCAGCTGACATTTCACTCTCCGTCTGTCTTTGGTTATTGCCGAGTCCGTCTGTAGCAGGAGGTGCTGACAAGTCACTTTCTGCCGCGTCCTTTCTTGAAGTCAGGATCTTCTTACCTTTAGTTTTCATAGTATTTTTATTTGGTGCCTTGGAAAAGCTACTTCCTAGATTTTGCAAATTCAGTTGTTCAAACTCGGCACTCAAACCAGAGACGGGTGACAGGAATGCTTCCTCCTTGCCGGGGGACTCTGGCCTCTTCCCTCCCAGTGTCTCGTGACTCGAGGGGCTGCAGAACCCGTTTCTGCTGCCGTGGGGACTGTTCGGTTCTGAGGCTTCTATGAAGTCCGCCGTGTGCTCCGCGGGGAGGGTGCTGCAACCTGGGTGTCCAGAAGCACTGCCTGTGGGCTGGCGAGTATTTCGAGCTGCATTTTGCCGATTTTTAATTTCTTCCAAGCTCCTGTCGTCTTCATCTAGAAACGCCCCCACAGAGATGGAATTGCTGCAGGTCCTCCCACTGCCTGCTGGACGACAGAGGAGCACGTGAGCGGCGTGAGCGACAGCACCGTGCGTGGTCTGTCCCGCCCCAGCACCCTGCAAATTCCTACGACCCAAGCAACAAATTACATTCAAAACCTCCTCTTCAGATTTCAAGACAGACACTCACTGCATCGCTCCCTGGGGAAGGACAGGCGGAAATACACGCCCCCACCGATCTGGGGTTTCAGGGTGGTACCTCACTGCGTTGTAAAGGTGGATGTTTTTTATCACTAGTGACAGACACACTTATTTCCTTTGGATAATTCCTTCTCCTTTGCCCATTTCACTTTTGGGGTATTTCTGTCTTTTTTCTTACTCTTTATATTTTCTTTTTAATGTTGTCGATATTTTCATGAGTTATTTTAAGTTCTGTGTAGTCAAATTACATCATGGTCATTCCATTCACTGCTTTTGTGCTGCTGAAGCACTTTGCACCCTGATTTCTATAAACACACACCGGAATTCTGGTGTGAGGTCCTCCTTGTTCTTTCCCTGAAAACATGCCACATCTAAACATTGGCGTCCCACCCAGTGGAGATCGGCTATCGTAAGTTTTATAAAACAGCACAGGATGAGGCTTTACTTGCCACGCTGAGTAAGGCAAACAAAACCAGAAATAGCAACACTGCGTGAAGTGATGCCGTAGTCTTCACACACACCTACAGCCCCCTAGACGTGTGCTTCCTCCGTACCAGAGGTGGGGGCTCCATCTCTGCAGCAGGTTTTCTTTCCTCCTGTTTCTGGTTGAGGCTTTTTGCCCACTTCCTGCTGAGCGAGATATTCTTCTAGTCTTTGCAGGCCCTCCTGGGAAGACAGATCAACAAAACAGCCCAGAAATTCCCAGTATTCAACCCAGGGATACCCCAGCTCATGAGCTAGCTCCCTGCAAGAAAGAAAACACAATTAACCAGGTGAAAAACCTTAAAAAGATACTCAGAGAACTGATTGTACAGAAAATAGTGCCAAAACAATGTCTGCATCTTGGTTATAATTTTATCCTAAATTTCGGGCTAAAGCAATTTGCATTTTCTGAAACAGTACTCTTCCTCACAGGGTGAGACCCAGCGGTGCTCCCGTGAGGAGCTGCCGCACAGCAGCGTGACGGAAGCAGACCTCAGCCCAAACGCGCCTCACACCAGCACAGCTCCGTGGTAAGAGGCCAAAGAGCAGGACCGCACTGACACACGGGCTTTCTCATTTTCACGGAGCAACCCCACGAAGCTGCGTATGATTCCAGTTTGGGCCACGCACATAAAAACTTAGAGGTCTTTCTCAAGTTCAAGTTGTAAACTTGAAACTGGGCACGTATTTTGAGAAAACGTTCTAAACAATCCCATGAAGTTTTATTTGATTAAAACATAATTCAGCTTTGTGGTTATAGACATTTTTCAGGGACTTTTTAAAAAATTCATAGGTTTCTAGCCACACCTGCCTCTTGTGTTTTAAACAGGGGGGGGAATGTTTGATTTTCTTTTTTTCCCAAGGAAACATCCATTCTTACAGTACCTTACACAAAATGTTAAGATCCCTTAGAAATACGTTACAGAACTGCTCGAAGGTCTGGGAAGGGACAGTTTTAAGTTTTAATTCTGCAATACAAATTGCATCATGTGCAGTTGGTAAGGAATTAGACCTTGATGAAGAGGCTCCGGTAAAGGATTCCTGGAAACTATCACTTTGAAGGCAGCTGTGACTAGATTTTCCACCATCAACCAACATGCAACCACACAGCACACCACACAGCTCCGCGTCTCAGCTTTTATGACTCCACGCGACGGTCCTTTAACTACCTTCCCACTCTCTCAAAGCCTCTCTCCGGGTCAGATTTCCTGACATTGTGAAAGAAGCTTGCTTTCTCTCGAGGTGGAGTTTTCCAGAGTTTGCGAAAATCTTCTGCCTATGAAGAAAAAGGTATATTAAGAGAAGCCAGGGCTGGGCGTGGTGGCTCACGCCTGTAATCCCAGCACTCTGGGAGGCCAAGGTGGGAGGATCACTTGAGGCTAGGAGTTTGAGACCAGCCTAAGCAACATAGCGAGATCCCATCTCTACAAAACGAAAAGTTAGCCAGGTGTGGTGGTGACACCTGTAGTCCCAGCTACTCAGGAGGCTGAGGCAAGAGGATTGCTTGGGCCCAGGAGTTGGAGGCTACAGTGAGCTATGATGAGCTATGATGATGCCACTGCACTCAGAGCAAGACCCTGTCTCTAAAAAAAGGGGGAAAAAAAGAGATGCAACTCACTCAGCTGGGGACACTTAAAGAACCACCAGCATTGCAGAATCTGCTTGTCTCACAACATCCTTCTTGCCACCCCCTCTGGCAACAGAACCCCGGGCCCACCTGCCTCGTAGCTAACAGTGACTGCACTTGCAGGTCAGCGAGGGGCTGTCTTCTTTCCTGCGGCCCAGTCTGGGCTATGAGGGTCAGATCGTAGGACCAGAAGGGCCTACGCATGAGGCCTTGCCCTGGGGACAGCAGGTGTCTTGGAGCGACCACCCCTGACCACACATCTAACATTCTTCCCATCACAAGAGAAGAAAATAAACATTTATCTTTCTGAGTCACTCTTACTAGAGTTTTATGTTTTATGGAGCTGATCTAATCCTGATACCTCCTCATTTTCAAGACATTTTTATAGTTGCAGATAACAACTTATTTAGAAAGCTTTTAGTACAAGATTACATGCAGGTCAGTGCATGAAATAGTTCAGCTGGAGAAAGAATTACCAAATGCAAAACTGGCATAAAAATGTGCATAACCTTTGACCCAGCACCACCACCACTAAGGGTTTATGTGAACATCAGGGATGCGAGTGGGGCCCAAAGGGGTTGAGGTCTGGGTACCGAGGAAGGGCCCCAGGAGAGGGAGGTGACACAAAACATTTGCGAGGACGTGGGCGGGAGCTGGGGCCTCAGGAAACTTGGTCTGGAAGTTCGCCCTGCAGATGGAAGCCTCCTGGTCACGAGGGACAGCCTCGCTAGACTGGCGAGGTGCTGGGAGAAGGTCCCGACGTGCACAGGAGGAATCGGGGATGACCCAGGCACAGGAGAGGTCTAACCAGGCAACTTGAGCTGCACTGAGAAGTGTGGGCTTCTCAGCACGTGCCTGGCGAACACGTAACCAGTCAGGAACACGTTTCTCTGGCAAATGTCCTGAAGCCCGTCACCAGCTCCCTGGGAGCTGGTTTTGGAAGAGGATGACCTTAGGTTCCATGGGACCTGGTTCCTAAGCCCAAGCACAAAGCAGCAGGCTAGAAAACCCAGGAACGGTGTGGCCCAGCCAGGAGCTGATTCCAGAAGGTTCCACAGCAGCTCACCTTAGACGGACTCAAGGGCCCTGCGAAGGCTCTCAGGGTCAGCACAGGGTCTCTGGGGCTGCCTCCATAGCGGCCCCCAGGAGAGGACTGGGCCGCCTGGTCCGAGGACCACAGCTCCCCGATGACTGGAGAAGAAGTGTCTTCTGCTCTCAGAAGCGGCACGTAGTAGTGACCTGAGGGAGGAGACAGGCGTTGGCCCACCGCGGCGTGTCGGGTCTGGGTGAGCAGCGTGAGAGTTAACGCAGGCACCTACCACGGCCTTCGCAAACGGACAGTGACAAAAAATAAAAACCACACAAGCTCTGCAGCCAAAGGTCAGGACAAAGACCAGAACTCGCTTAACTAAATAAGCCTCACTTCCTTCCTCTGCTAAGAAAGAAAAAAGGAGGAGAACAGAAGACAACCCCCCACCCAGGTATGAAAGGACAGAAAGGCGGCCCGTCTCGAATGCACAAGATTAGGAATAAATGGTAGAGGTAAGTTACGTTCTGTTTCTCCCCTCCTTCTCAGTCCCCCACTGCTGCGGTACTTCGCAGTTCGCATCACCGATTACCCGTCTCCAGACCGACCCAGAGCCCCCTGGCGCTCTGACGGGAAGCGTGGGAAGTGCGCCCTGCAGGGGAAGTCACCTGGGTTAGTGTCGTAAGGTCACGCGCCACCCATCCTCCTGCAACACCAGGAGGTACAGCCAGTCGTGCTGCTCAAGAATGCCTGGGAATTTTTATTTTAAATGCTTATCATAGTTTTTATATTTTTTTCCCTGATTATCAAAGTACTATATTTTCATTGTAGAGTATGTTAAAAACTACAGCGATTAAAATACAGTATTTCATGTTTTAAAATCTTGGCTCAGGATGTACCATATATATAATGGCATTTTATTGGTAATTGGCAAGTTTTTTCCTCTTAGTGGTATATGAAATAGTGGTGTCTCCTGTTGAAGGTATATGGTAAAATCCATCTATAACGTAACTATCCATAAAATAGTAATGCTTAATTGGTGGGTTGCTTTTTTTTTTTTTTTTTTTTTTTTTTTTATGAGACAGAGTCTAGCTCTGTTGCCTGGGCTGGAGTGCAGTGGCATCAGCCTAGCTCACAGCAACCTCAAACTCCTGGGCTCAAGCGATCCTCCTGCCTCAGCCTCCCACATAGCTGGGACCGCAGGCATGCGCCACTGTGCTCAGCTGATATTTTTTTTTTTGGGGGGGAGTTGAGGTCTCACTATGTTGCCCTGGCTGATCTTGAATCCTTGACCTCAAGTGATCCTCCTGCTTCAACCTCCCAAAGTGCTGGGATTATAGGAGTGCCCAGCTCCTTTTTTGGCATATCCATTTAAGGTCCTTTTAAAAACTTCTATCAACAAAACTGGATTCGTGCTCTCTCAACAGTTTGGTGTCCAGCTTTTTTATCTTCTCATTTTACGTCTTGCATAACACTCTTGGGTCCTTCCCTATCTTTACACAAGCGTGGACCTCGCTGGGAGATACGACTGGCACCAGCCAGGGACGCGGCCAGTCCCTCAGCATGCTCCATGGGTGTGAAGCCACAACGTGACACAGGCCACCACAAGACCACTGAAGCTGACCCACGCCTGGCTTCACATGAGACCGTTAGCAGGAACCAGGCAAGGTGTACTGGGTCTCTGAAGGGCTGGGTAGTCCAACCCTTCAGAAACTTGGAAATCGCAGCAATAATATTTTCTCCTTAGAAAACAGCTGGATGAACAGATCTCAGGGGTATTAGCATCTATTGTCACAAATAGGAAAGGCCTCATCAGACCGTCAGCATTGCTACCTACCTCATTTCAAAGCATTCCTGACAGTGTGGTTTGAAAATCCACAGAGCAGATCAATCTGTTTAGTTACCAGGGATGTTCTGGTAACACCACCACACGTTTCTGGGGCCCTCCAAATGTTCAAGCCAGGTCTCTGTTTCTTTCTCCTTTTTTTTTGCTTCATAAGACAAAGCTAAAAGATTTTTTTAAGATTCTGCTTGCTTAATAAGTGCAAAATTTGGTACGTATTGATTTTACTGAATTAAAAGCTATGCCTGTTTTTGTTTCTTTCTCCTTTTTTTTGGCTTCATAAGACAAAGCTAAAAGATTTTTTTAAGATTCTGCTTGCTTAATAAGTGCAAAATGTTATACTATATTCATAAGATTCGTCTGTCTTTGATTATTAGCAAGGCTGAACATTTTTCCAT